ACACTGTGCAGCTGTGGGCACAACATGTTACAAACATTTTGGTTTATTTCAGAGGGGAACAATGATTGTAAACATTTTATAATCCTAATCATTTCAATTGCACTGCACAAACCAAATGTATGTAGTTTTCATCATTTGGGTCTGGTGTATATAGCTCCTGAAACTACTTTGAAGGTAAAAATATTACTGACAGAATATAGTTAAAACATGTTTTACTAATTTAAAACAATTGTTTTTGTACATTTTAAAAACGTCTTTATCTGTTTAATGTATATATTTAAATTATTTGGTAATCAGATCATTTTTAGTATCATTATTTCAGTTACAAATGTTGTTTTGAATCAGTTATTGGAAGCTAATTTTGTTAAAACTGTATCAACATTTGTTGTATGAATTTGCTGTAAAAATATTACTCAAACTAATTAAGTAAATTTAACTTTGCCCCAAAACAGACAAATCTGACATCACTGACAGTTTAGACATTGGTACAGCTGTCTCTTTGTAAGGCATTGCTAGGCCTATGTACTTTTATTGTTTGTGTATGTTTGTCTCTCTGGACCCTGAGTCTGAAATAAAGTCTATCTATCTATCTATCTATCCACCCATCCATATATCTATCTATCTATCTATCTATCTATCAAATTAACTGAATGATGTGTCATTGAACATTCAAGAAAAAAACTTCATCATATACACCCTAAAAATTGTGACCATTGGTTAATTAAAAAAAATGATGGCAACAAAGTGACAGATTTTAAGATCTACAAATTTGATTAAAAGATATTGAATAAATTCACTAAATCCAAACAAAAATAAGTAAATCCAAATTTCTCAAGCAAAACTGATTTATATTTACTAAGAATCTGAGCAAAAGTCATTTTGATTTACTCAATACCTGGGTTAACTTGATTTGTATTTACTACATCTCTGAGGGAAATTCATTTATATTTACTGATTATTTGAGTGAAATTAATATAATCTTACTAAATATAAACATGATTTGGATTCACTTAATAAAATTAATTTAACACATTTACACATGTGTTAGAAGCAAACACATTTACATTGCTGTTCTTATTTACATGTACCTAACTTAACTCTTTAAATATAAGTTTAAATAAGTATCACAAGACTTTAAATCTATTCAATAATATTAATTGTCACTTTGTTGCCATCATTTTTCTAAGTCTAATCAACTCAATATCATGACTTCTTGGTGCCACAGTTCTCCATCAGGACCAAGACCTCACGCCACATGAACAGTTTTTTCCCATCTGCAGTTGGGTTCATAAACAAAGCCACTGACTCTGTCATCCCCAGGACTATTTCCTACCGGTACACTCCCCTGCACATCCCTTCTATTCTTCTGTGTTTCTATAATTAAATGCAATTGACACTTTTACATTACACTTATACCTGTTTAAAGTAGTTTGTTTGTGCGCTATATTTTATTGTAAATGTTTCTATTCTAGTTTCTATTTTTTTGTACTGTGTTGATTGTTTAATGTTATGCACCATCCACCATGTCAAACTCCTTGGATGTGCAACATACTTTGCCAAATAAACGGTTCTGATTCTGATTAATTTGATCACCATGCATAAAGAGTACAGCAGGTAAACATTTATTTCAGTTCCTTTGTCTATACATATTTATCCAACATCCACAGTGCAAAATGCCAAAATACAACAATAGAGTAAAGAGAGGGGATAAAAGAAAACAAAAACAGAAACGATGTTTGTGTAAAATTGGGATATAGTACATTGCATAAAGGAAATACTGGCATAGCTTATTCGTGAGGCTGTCCACATTTGGGGACACTTTAAAAAGTTTAGCTCGAGGAGGAGTTTGTGAAAGACTTCAAGCATGTACCTGAGCTCCTTGGGATATAAGATCCAACGAGCATGGATTAAGTTCTTGGAAAGTAGAGCAGTCAGAACTTTCATGCCCTTTATCATGATACCGATGTTGTCAGCACCCTCTGATGTGTCATGACGTGTCTTCATCACGTGTCTTCATCACCATCCTGAAAGAGCAAGAACATTGGGTATTTCAGACTGTACAGCTATAAGAAGGTCCTTCCCAAACAGAGCTGTGCAGGAATGAGTCCTAAAACACAAACATAATGGGTTTGAAATTTAACAAGAGATTAAGATACTTTAACGTTTTGTTCTATGCTATAAAATATATTCATAAATATACCTCAACATTTTGAAGCTTTTACTTGTCTTTAAAAAGCCACTTGCTAACAAGTGGCTAAAAGAGACATCACACCATCGTCACATCATCACGTGCTACGTCAGATTGGTTGAAAGGGCCTATTAGAGGCAACAAATGACACAACAAACCTCAGTAGCTTGCCAATAATTACTGTAAGAAATGTAGTTATGATTGTATTTTGTGATTTGATCTACTGACATCATAATCTTTTAATACTTGATCTGTAGATTCCTCAAACACAGAAGACAACATCTCTTGTCATGGTGATGCTACGATGGCTGGTGGCCTGAAAGTCAAAAGTAAACATTATTAAGCTCATGGAGTAAAGTCTTCTTCTGACTAAAAACTTGTCAAAGCTGCAATTTTTGAAAACATGTGGCTTATATTACGGTAAAACAAACCCCTATCACAGATCCTTGATGTGCTGTCTTAGGAACCAGCCTAATGAAACATTTCACTACAAAGGTTTCAAGACAAGTCATCGGTCCCAGCAAAGAAATATTGCGTAGCACTTTTTGTTGACATTGTCATAGAAGTGTTAATAAAGTATGTTTTAGCCAGTGCACAGAAAAAGGGGCGTCTCAGGGGGTCCAAGACCCCTCTGAAAGCTTCACTAGCAAAATTTCAGGAGGTCTCCAAAATCATAACAAAACTATTTGTAACTTGCAACTGTCACTAAAATGTCCTTTTAAAAATTGACCTATAAGTGAACATATAAATGAATTTCGAATGAATTGAATATATATTTATGTGTATATTTATAGATGTAAAAAACTAAACATTCTAAACTTATCTAATAAAGTGGCCACAGAGTGTATATAAACTATTCAAAACATGCAATTATTTCATCCTGTTTTTGTGGAGAGAATCACAGGATAACATTACCTCTGCAACCTCAGCCCCAAGGTTCTGCTCTTGAAGTGGAGGTTCAGCAGCCTGGGAGTGAATTCATTAACTTTGATTCAAGGTGCATCGTTGTGATTCTGTGAAACTCATCCTGCATCTGAAAAACAAATAATCAAACCAGCTATAGAGCCTCAAATTGAAAGAGTGTTCATAATTTTATATAATTTGAAGACCGCCGTTCACAAAAGCAGCTCGGTGTAATCAGTCAGCCTGAGCTGCTACCTCTGTTTAAAAGCATACTATGCACTGACGTAGGGCGGTAATTCCATCTCTCCTTCTGTGGCCTCTTGTACTGAGAACAGAGACATGAAAGTGAACGTTAACAAGACAAAACCTACAGAGAACAGAATGTATGAAAGCTGAAAATTATGCTGCTTTTAACAACAAGATACTTGAGAGTACAAATTGTACTTGAGAAAACTAAATGCAGTGAATGTAACTCGTAACTACAGCGAGTACGCTTTTCACACATCTGTGCATTGGTTATTTTCTATCTAACAATAGCTTGTTAAAGTTGGGGATGGAAGGAAGCTCGGGCTGAGGCCAGGACAATTGGTCAAATTAAATTGGCTGGTATCTTAAAAGAGCACTTTATGAAGTATGCTTGGGAAATAATAACATGACCTTTTAACATTGAGCCGACCACTTTTTCAGTCCTTTCCACGTTTTTAGTAGAGTCAAAGACAATGCAGACTGACTTTGAATCACAAGCTTAATTTTGATGTACAGCGCAGTAAAGTTGGCATGTTTCGTAGCTTGAAGAGGGCAAAACTTTGTTCAACTGCAGCAGCAACTTGGTTATAAACTGTTTTTTACCTAATAATAGTTAAACATGTCTTACCTTTAGGAGAACAGCAGGCCCTGTCCCTGATGATTGCAGATTGATCTCCACGTGGAGCAAAATACCGTGGCTTGATGTGTAAGTTGATTAAAATCAAAGACCTCTCAATAAGTGAAATTATTAAATTTTCTGCATCTTTTACGTTCCTGGTGAAATACAATTAGATTCTACTTAGAGATTTGCAGCTGATTTTATTTAAACAAAACTGAGTCAAATCTATTTTATAAATCAATGAAATTTGTTGGATGCAACTCGAAATCAAAACTCCAGTCTTTTTTATTATGTATAGGTTACTATTTTTTATATATTAAATATTAACTAAGCCCTATCACAATTTTTACATATATATATATATATATATATATATATATATATATATATATATATAATACTACTTTATCCTACTGTGCAATAGACTCTGGGTTTATAATGGTTGTTAAATAAATTCAATGATTAAAAGATATATAAATATTTAATTATATTAGTTTTAAGAACACATACAATACCAAATGTTTTTTATCTTTAAAAGTGACTGAATCACAGTTTTCAACATAATGCAAAACCTGTTAGATTCCCGAATGAGAACATTAAACAAACAAACATTTTCTTTTTGTTCTCTTTGTATGGAGGCCAACACAAAAAAACCGAACTAATTAATATAGATGAGCTTTAGGTCGATACAACACACTGTGGGCTAATTTGAATGCGTTGTGGAGCAGCAACAGGTTAATTAGTCGTTTTATTTTATAATTACACAAGCATCGAGGGCATTTAAAGCAGAAAATGTGATCACTATAAATATGAATTAGCTTCACTACTCAGCGCTATTATTTTCATTAAAATATAAAACTTATTTTGAGATTAATTATATTTTTATTAGCCTAATGCAAAACTCAAAATTAACATAAAACTCAATGGCTTCGCAGGATTTCTTCCCCGTTATGCATGTGTATATATTTCCTTTATATTTAAAGACGTTAAAGCCGCAGTGATCCCCGTCTGTTTCCCTCTCCTTCCTCCAGAGATGTGGGTCGGAAGTACCGTAGTTTATGTATGCTAATAGGGAGAGTTGGGGGTTGTAGCTAGATATTTACGTTCAGTGGGAGCCGCCCTTCATTCACCCACATGGTTACCAACTGGTCGCCTTCGCGCCACTTTCCCAACCCCGCAATCATTTTTAACCAGCGTCTCTGGGTTATAAATTGGCTCACGATCGGCTCGGACCTCACTTTATGTTCCGTTTTTGTCCGCGGGTAGAAAAGTTTTCGGAATAGTTACGTATTTATTTCTCTCTTTTGTCGGTAAGAGACTACACGGCAGCCCAAGCAAGTGAGCGAAGATGGTGGATTTCGGCTGGTGAGTGTCTACCGAGCGCATGCTTATCGGCAAGGAAGTCGGGTTTGGTTTGGTTCTGTATGTATCTCCGTTTCGCTGACTCGATTCTCAAACGATGTGGTTTACGCGTGTTTTTTAAAAGTGTCTTTAATATCACGCTGGCGGGGATATCTAAACATTAAAACATAAAAGATATGCTGGCGATGAAAACAGTGTAACGTGAGGCGCATGGCAGCCCCCTCTGCTCCACCATTGACGGAATGAGGGAGATTTGAAAAGCTGTCCGGAGCTTTCTCCGCTGCGCTTTAGCAACTAGTTGACCAAAAACAGGCCTCCTTACAACAACCCTCGAGTTGGTATAAACATGCTAGTCCGATATCTGAAAAGTAAGTTTGTAAATCTGGTTAATTTGTTGCTCAGTCTCGAGTGCAGTGGTGTGTGAGTTAAAGTGCCCCCCAGAACAAAGCAGCAGCACATGGGGCAGTTTTAGGCCGCGCGTTTTAGCTCAGCTAGCTTAGCCTAGCTGCACACACTGAACTGTCCTATTGTAGGGTAAGGACAAACAATACGACGGTGGGCATCGCGTTAACATAAAGTTAGGCGTAGATAAATACAGCCAACCCAGCGGGACAGATGTGCCGTTTGTGTATTTTCAAAAGTGTGCTCGTTTGTTGTTGGCTAATGAGTGTCGCCCAAACTCCTTATTTTATGAGCTTGCAAACCACATCTTTAAAAAAGCCAGCCATTTTACTGACGGTATCCCAAGCTGCGCATGTGGCTTCTTTAAGTAGTAACTTAAGTCATTGTAACGTTAAAACAGTTTGCCATGTTTTCTTCGAGCTAGCACATTAGCTCGCAGCAGCTAAGCTACCTTCCCAACCAGTGCACGGCTGCTAGCATCTGCTCCTACATGGACGGAGCCGTGTTTTTGTTGGAGGTCCGAAAATGCAAGCCACTGTGGTACCTCTAAATGGACAACACGCTATTCTACGTTTGGCGTGTAGCTCTGTTTGGTTTAAAGTAATTTATGCTAAGGTTGGCGCACTTCGAGGCGCCATGTTAAAGACGGGTGGGGGAGGGGTGAACAACACCGTCCCCTGCGCAGGCGCCCCCGTGTCGCAGGGAACGCGGGCCGCAGGCTGTGCTGCTCATTCATGTTTTTCAGTGACCTCGTGCTGCTGCGATAAATCATAACATCTTGTATCAAACTACCGCTCGCACTTATCGACAAACCAGTGATGGTGGTGCACAACTATGACGGATGGAAATGCGAATTCCGCGTTTTTAATCACGCACGTGCTCACACATCAATCAACCTGCATATGTTACTTGTTGCAATGCCAAAAAGTCGTGTTCGTTGTCTTAACAAGCTATCCTGTGTGTCGTTTTTTCATATTCAGATCCACCACGAAGTGCAGGACCGTAATCCAAATTTGCCACCTGGAGCCATGTGGCCATCGCTCCGATGGTGCTGGAGGGCAGCAATGCTGTAATCGGTCGGTGTATTGTCAAAGTGCTTACAGTGCAGGTAGTACTATGTGATACCTACTGCAGTGGAGGCACTTACAGCAATACCCTGACACTGATGTGCAGATTCTTTGATGTTACATGTCGTGTGAAGTACTGTCTTTGTGCTAAGGTGCATCTAGTGCAGATAGTGAAATAGACTAGCACCTACTGCCCTAAGTGCTCCTTCTGGCATAAGGGGCTGTGATATGCGCCACCAGACCATTTCTAATTTCCAATTGGGCTCAAATATCTTGCAGTTCTCTGCTAGTTTTGCATAGTTGCACTACAAGAATAGATGAGTTGTGCAAATCTATGCAAAACTGATGGTGGCCTGCTTGCTCTCCACCTGTTACGATTTTTTGGTTTTGGGGGTTGTCACATTAAACACAATCTGTCATAATACACATGTAACGCTGTTTTGAAAATGAGAAGTGTTTTTCCAGTGCTCAAGTGAGTCGGTTTCAGCAGTACTAAAGTGCTTATAGTGCAGGTAGTGTATTTCTCCTATCTACTGCAATGTAAGCACTTGAAGTACTTCTAACTTACTGCGTCTTTCTGAAACTCGGATGTCCATAATCCCAGAGGATCTTTGAATCGTCGCATGGTCAGTTTTGCTGGTTTGCATTCAGCTTTAACTGGTGTTTGCTGTGCAAATCCATGCAAAACTGACTAGGTTGATGAACTATCTTCTGCCAAATGAGCTTGCTTTTCATCAAAACTGGGACATGTATGACATTTTGGATATTTGGAGATGTCCCTTCCTGTGCAGGTGGGGATTAGTAGCAATGCTGTGTACCTGAAGGTATTGCACTTGTCCCGGCCTGTATAGGAACAAGGAGATGGAGCTGACCCAGGATCACGACCCAAGTGATTAGAAAACTGCTGCACTCATCTTCATGTTTTCTGTCTGTATGAAAAGTGTGTGATTATTGATGGGTTTTAATTGTAGTGTTTCTTGAAATAGAATACATTTTAAACACTTTTTTTTTTTTCTCTCTGAATGCTTTATTATTCATACATCTTGATTTTGGTTGAAACTGGAACAACATGCGGTGGCAAAATGTGTTTTGGTCAAGAAACCTGTTGACTTTGACAAACCTTACTTTTGATTTCTGTAACCTGGTTGCCAATGTTGCATTACAGGAGTGTTTTTCACCACATTAAATGAGTCACGTTTCCCGACTGGGCCATGTGCATCAGATCTAATTTGTGACATGACGTTCAGCAGCATTGATAGTCTGCTATGAACACCAGGCAGGATCACAGCCCTGACGGCAGTCATCATATGAGCACATGTTCAACAGCAGTTTTGCCTATACTGAGGGGAAAGTGATTGGTGAAGTTGGGTATTAATTTAGCATATTTAGACTTTAATGCAAAACAAAAACATGCCCATAAAAATAAAATGAACAAAGTGTATTTAAGCTGAAAACTGAATTTATTTTTGTTTCGTTAGACATGTAGGTCACAACTTGAACTAATGCCTATACAGGTTAACCAAATGGTTCTGAATATACTTAAATCTTTAAATTGGTTGGTACTTTCTAAGGAGGAAAAATGTAAATGGCACATACCATAAAATACACGTTTTTCCTAATTAATAATTTAATAACACATGGTCATCAAAACCTCATATCAGTTTTATTTAACTAAGGTGATAATAGTTTTATAGAATGTAATTGAAAAAAGGAAATGGTTTCAAATTGAGAACTATTTAAGATTGTCGCCCGTGTGTCACTTAATTTACTTTGGAGGATTTTTGGATAAACGACAATCTAACCTCCGTTAGCATGAATCAAAACATGAATAAATCCACGATACTAAGCCTCATTGAGCTAATTTAACAGGGAAAGAAATTCAGAAAAATATATTTCAGTTCGGTTCTGAGGTGAGTTTTGTTTTTTAGATCGAATACCTCACTCTAGCCTACACAGTTAATAGATCTTTAATTGTCATAGATAATATATCAGTCGTAACATGGAAGTCGGGGCCAGTCCACTAGAGGGCGCCGTGAGGCTGCAGCTCAGCTGCACGTTGAGCCGCGGAGTGCAGGTACGGTTACGGGTTAGGGGGTACGGTACCGCCTCTCCTGTCGGTCCAGCCAAGTTGGACAACATGCCGCTTTCAAGCAGATCCGTCACACCGCTGCAACTTTCTCCCCGCGTGTCCGGATTTAAATGATCTGGAGCGTTTCCTCGACACGAACGTTCACGCCACACAATCGACGCTGAATCCTGAAACCTGGGATGTGGAAAGGGACTCACCTGAGCGGACTACATGTTCAGAAGAAACCGTAACTTCTAAACAAGCGTCTTTTTTTTTGTGGAGTATTAACCCTGCGTTTTATTAAAATGGGTGATCTGTGTGCGAACTGCGTTTTCTTCCTGGCGTGTTGCTCTGGGTTTTGCTTTGGGAGCCCGAACAGATGTGACGAAGTGCGGAAAGTTTTCCAACTCAGACAAATTGGACCAAATCAATTATTGCCTTTAAGCCCCAGACCAGGTAGGTAATGTTTGAGTTAGCTGTGTGTGTGTGTGTGTGTGTGTGTCTGTCTGGTTTATTGTTTTCTTTCTTCCTGCAGTTAAAGTCTTATGAACCAGCCAGTAATACAAATCAAGTCACATTTCTTCTTGATCATTTGCCCATTTTCCTCATTTACATCTTCTTAGCAGCCAAAGCATGTCAACCCCTGATTGAAAGAAATATGCTTGAGAAGTCACTCAACACCTTATTACCTTTCTGTTGAGCTCACTGACTGCACGAACCTGTCATTTTCTGGCTTCTTGAAGTACTCTTTGTAGACACAAAACACACCTTTTAAAAACACATTTTAGAGGCGTGTGTGAGGTCATAATAATATGGAACACGAGAGCCTTTAGCTGTTTAAAGTGCATCTTACTGTGGGACCTTTCAATGAAGGTAACCTGTTTGGAGGAAATACTGCATCTGTCTTAAATTACTGCAAGATTAAAACTCACAGAAGCTCTTTCAGAGTGATCTCTAATCCTTGGTCACATTATTACTTTAGTTTATGTTCAACACTGTTTCAGGTTGATGATACATGTTATTTGTTGATGTTATTTAAAATACTCTTGCAACAGGAATATGTTTTTAATTCTATGTAACCAGAGTAAAGCTGCTGAGTTTACTTGTTGGTCGTGACGAAAAAGAAACCAAAGTCGGCTCCTTTTGGCTGTCTAAAGCACATAAGTGGCTTGCGGGGATAAACGGGAATTATTTTGTGTAAAGTTAGGTAAACTAGGCTTCACTTAACTTTCTGAACACCGGCCATAATGTAATTCCACATGACAAGATTTAGGGGGGGAAATTATGGGTGTGGATATTTCATGTGGGCCATCATTGACTGGACAGCTTGCTGCTGCTGCTGCTCTCTCTTGGAAAAGTAAATCTTAATGGTGTTGACTACCCTGCCACAAACTGCTCCCTAAATGCTTCTCCACCTCTTTCCTCTGCGAGGAAACTGATTACATTTACAGAAAAACCCTCAAATGCCTCCTAAAACCTCTAACTAACCCTTATAATGCCATCACCGCTCCTGCCCCATACAGAAGAAGCACGTGTGGGACTAAATCTCTGTGCTGTTTCTCAACTGAAAAGTTCTTTCTCTGAGAGGAATTGTGGGTGCCTCCTGTAGTAGCGACAGTAAGCTCCTGATTCAGTAGCTACTAACCTTGTAAAAACACATGCTGCTGTTTATAGCTGCACCTTCACCTGCAACCTCACGCACATCCTCCAAGTCTAAACGCATCTAGACATTGGGAGGATGTTAATCGTTTCCTTGATGGATTCAGATTAAATACGCTGAAATACAGCACGATACTGTAAATGGGAGATAGCGGGAGGTAGAGTCAATCCTAGAGATTTTTTTAAGAAGGTATCTATAATTGACCCGTGGGCTTGTGAAAAATAACCTCCAGATATTCCAGGAATCTGAGGTAGATCGTTTGCCAATAAGAAGAGCCAAACAGCCTTCAGCTTAGGTCAGAACACAGCGAGTCAGAAGTCTATCACCGCAGCAAACAAAACCTGCTCTTTGTGGAAATAGTTCTGAGAGCATTTAGGTGAAGAAAAAAAAAAAGCAAGACCTGGGGCTCTTTCAAGTTGTCTTATCTGGGAGAGTTTAAATTCCTCCACGTGTGCCATCGCCTGCACTGCTCCCTCCTCACTCTTCCTTGAACCTCACAGGGGAGTTGATAGCGTCTCTGGCAACAAGCTCTGCACACTCTGCCTAGGCATGTCAGAGGGGCTTTTGCAGGAGTTTTTGGGTCTCTTTTGAGATGTTTTGATTTTGTGTGCAGATTGCTTACATTTGTTCCTAGTGGAAAACCTGAGATGTCACTTAAGGCTTACGTGACTGAGATCTCCTCTCCGGGTCTACGTGTTGTGGTTGCTCAACTAAAGCGTATTTTAACTTGTTGGAAATGTGCCCTTGCTTTTTGTGTGAGGCATGTGTGCTACATTGATGGTTTTAAAATGTTTTATATGACCAGAATCAACTGCTGATGACACGATCAATTTGTTGATCACCAATATTTAAGTTTAATTAAGGCCTGTTGTTCATTCAGATTTTCCCATCATGTGCTTTTTATGCACCTTGTTCTTTGTTTATGTGTCTCTAAGATGATCATGAACCCCTTTCCTCTTGCACCACAGGTTGGCTTCTGTAGTTCTGATTGAATCTCTCCATTGGCTGGATTGCAGATTAAAGTTGGACTTTAAACTCCTAGTGTTGTTCTCTTGCGGATGAATGCTGCTAAAGGAAGCTGCTTGTCACTTTGAATAATTTCCCGTTCGTCATACAGATAATACAGAAGACAGTTAGACACACTCACTTATTCAGGCTCGCCTTCGGGCAGTTCAAGGTGTCAAATCCACCTGACTTGCATGTTTGTGGAATGTGTAAAGGAAAGTGGAGCCCCTTAAAGAGAGCATGCAAATCCCCCTGCTCAGTTTATGCCTCTCATGCATTTCATTCAAGTCACAGAGGTAAGCATTATTTTCTCTGACAAATAAATACCCAGCGATGTTCGAAAAAAACCCTCAAACGGTCTATTAGCACCATGTACCTGTTCTGAAAAATCCCAATGATAAAATTTGATCTTGTTACAAAATATTCAGTTTGCTGCACAATAATATGGTTCTATCCTATGTTCCAAGTTTCTGTTTCCTATTGTAAAGAAAAAGATGGTAGCTATGTTGCATATCTTTGCAAACAAGTTGAATCAAACATTTATTGTCAGTTATATTTGACTATATTAAGGTTACTACTATATATTATTTAGTATTTTCTAACTAACATTCGTTAATATTTCTCGCGTGGAACAAAAAGAGCAAAGACGTCTGTCATTTTCGGCGAGGTGGATTAGGAAATACTGTCGCACCTTTAGGAACAGTTTCGATCCTAACCCACTTGTCTCTAATGAGTTAAGATCATAACATTCGATCTCAATGGTCCTCAGGTTCCGACCTCCAGGTGTGCATGTCCAAGAACCTGACCTGCTGCACCAAAAAGATGGAGGAGAAGTACCAGGTGGCGGCCCGCAGGGACATCCAGAACCTCCTCCAGACGTCCAGCTCCGGCCTCAAGTTCCTCATCTCGCGCAATGTGGCTGCTTTCCATGGTAAGAGTTAACTGCTGTGTGTGTGTGTGTGTGTGTGTGTGTGTGTGTGTGTGTGTGTGTGTTGTCATCGCTGTTAAACTTCATAAACATGTGCTGAGATGAGAGCGCAAATGTTTACGTGGATAATTGTATGCGTGTAGATGTTTGTGTCTCTCTTTGAGTTGGAGTACACATTTAGGAGTTCGGGTTTGTGTGGGTGTTGTAAAAACACTGGATGAGTCAGAGTGTGTGTGTGTGTGTGTGTGGGTGTGTGTTTGTGTGTGTGTGTGTGTGTGTGTGTGTGTGTGTGCGCGCGCGCAGTGAGGCTCCACTTCAGCTCAAACAGAGGAGGGTCTGTCCTCCTTCCAGATCTACCGCTACACTGTGATCCTGAGATTAGATAGGTTAGCTGTTCCTGTAGGAGACTCAGGAGGCCGTCTGTCAGGGATATCTACTGTTTTTTTTTTTTTTTTACTAATAGCTTCTCTTCCTGTGCGTCCTGCTCTTCTGTGTCCTGATAAGAAAAAAAATCAAATCCTCATATTTAGAGTGCTGGAATGCAATCATCATCGACGCGTCCTAAGCAGGCTACCATCCATCCCCGCATTTGTTTTCAACCTCTGACTCTTATTGTTTTCCATTCCTCTCCGTCTTTTCATTCAGCAGCAGCTGACAGTTAACGTACAGGCAACAGCTTGCCTCTGTCTGTGTGCTCTCCCTGCCGAGCGTGGGATGTCCCCCCCCCCCCCACACTTCTAGCTGATGGCTGTCATGTGATGGCTGAAACGAGTGGGCAACAAATACAGAGCTTATGACTTGAATGTACAGTCTCAGTCAGACATATCATTAAGCCAATTCACTTTAACGATGTGTCTCAGTATAAAGGCGGGCTGTTATCCTACTCCTAAAATCAAATGATTTATAGGAGGGCCTCCACATGATCACAGTGTTTTAGCCGAGGTTTACAGGGGCAAGGCCCTGTTTGTGTCCTCTGATGTTTGATGTGTCTACTCAGGCTCAGAAGGTGTACTAAAATACTCAACATTTATGATGTCGTTCATGAAGCATGCCACCTACTCTTAACTTAAAACATAGTTGCAGACAGCTTTATGTTAGAGGGCAGGGTTATCCATCCATCCATTCATCCTTATGCCAGGCTGGGTCATGAGGAACAGCAGGCATGGGATGGTATTCCTGACGTCGATTTTGCAGCTCTTCCTGAGAAACCCCGGGCCAGAAGACATATATAACCCCTCCAGCGTGTTCTGGATCTATACCTCGGGGCCTCTTACTAGATGGATGTGCCCAACTGGTAGGAGGCTGGCATTATTTTATATATTTAATATTGTCAAATCCCATGAAAAGAACAAAACCAAATGTTAGTTCATCTCTCAATATGTTTTGACTTCTCTACCCTTTCTGGGGCTCTCAGCCCCAACTGAAGATGTAAACCTTTAAAAAATGGCTCACAAATATAGTTTCTTGAATTTAATTTCCCAAAACATGAAGTTTTTAGCAAATTTTCCTTTAAACAGGGATATATTTCCAGCAGCAGATTAATACACATTTAGTGCTCTAGTGAGTATTTACATTGCACAGAAGAGTAAGCTGAATTAGGCTTTGGCTGCCCGGACAATACTTGTTACTAGGATGAGTTCATTGTTGGTTTTGGTCTTTTCATTTCAAGTGATAAAAAGCTGCAGGGGCTGGTAGCCGTCTCAAAATACTCCCAAAATGAACAGCACTCACATGGTTTCATCTGTGGAATGGCAGCCAGTGTGCTCTCCTGCCAAACCAAACAGAGTTTCTTGTCAACATCGGCTCTCATCAGTCAACAAACACTGGCGGCTGCTTCCAACATCCAGGCTGCGTAATACAAGTGGCAACAGACGCTCAGCAATTTGAGTCTCATATCGGAGTCACGGCAGCAGCGTACTCTGAGTCTTACATTTCGTGGCTTGTACGAGGGATTTAGGAGAACGTGCCGCATTCACAAATCTTCTCGTATTTTGAATTTCTTCAGTCCAAGCTCAATTTACGGAGTGGTCCAGACCTGTCGTGTGCAATTAACCTGCTGTTGTCCAAGCCCAAGTTTTTCACTAATGGATTTCATTACTTTGACTTTGAAGCCATTTGAAAACCTAATATAAATTATCCTTCATAATTATGTTGACATTATCCTTTTTGAATTATAGACTAACACAATCCTAGATTTATTCTCGCAGACAAACGATATCATTAATTTAAATTGGCAGTTGTATCACACTGCAATATCAATATCTCAAACGGCAAAACAATTGAAATGATTTGACGCCCCTCCCGCTGCAGTGATCAATCACCCTGCTGTGGTGAGATGTTTTTCATGTGGAGCCATTTCTTCTTAATTTCAGTGACAGTACGACCCTCAGGTGACACTGCATGAACAGCACTCGTTATTTATCCCCATTTCTTGGACTTTTAGCAGGTCCCTTAATTTTGCTGCTGACGTTGCTAAAAAAAAATTTCTTGATGGATCTCTGGAAGCAGGACTTCAAATTAGGACATATGGGGCAGGACGTGTAGCCTTATATGGTATAACTGGGGCGTTGATTATGCAAATGTATAATTATCATGAACGCACGCTCATTTACGCACAGGTGCAATCCTCATGTTGATGCTGTTATCTGAAGTTAGGAGAGTTTGCTCAATCTGACGTGGGTCATTCGTACGAAACCGCTATTATGTAAAATGTAAGAGAAAGTTATACATGAGGTCTGATCAACATGTTGAGTGTTTACTTCCCCCATTAAACATTTGCGAAACTGTTTTTTAATATTTCAAATCTTGCGTTGTTTACACCTGTGTTTGCTTTCTAGAAGTCTTCTCCTTTGAGTTTGTTGACGCATTACTTAGTTTGCTGGCACGTTACCAACAACTGTTAATCAGGGGAATAGTGTATCCAAACATAACTTCCTGTGTAAGTTATTAGATCACACATATAGTTAATCATAACATGGCTGGTAAAATGTGTTTTTTATTGATCATAACTTCAATCAAATAACGCATACAAATGTGTACCTCAAACCTAACTATTCTTCTCTGCCTGTTCCATATTGTTTGTCCGGTTACTGAAGTAAATCTGTGCTGAAAGCTGATGCTTGTTCAAATGTTGATGCAGACTTTTTGTCTCATAGTCTTATCTGTTTACACACACACACACACACACACACGCACAAAGCCAGAGAGAGCGAGAGAGCCACCCACGTGGCATTGTTCTATTTGGCCGTAGAGGTTTTAAGAGCCTTTGTCACATGGAGAAAACTCACTGTGGCACCATATGTATGGGAAGCACGGAGGGACAGAAATGTCTGGCAGGTTCCTAGATCTTAACAGAGTGGTGAAAAAAGAGCTGTTCTTCTGTTCATGTGCAGACATAAAAGAAACACAAGTCAAGCATTTAATCCGTCTTTCCTAACCAGGGAGTGTTCAATGATGCTGAATTAATATGAGTGAATTGTTTGTTATTCATCTTGTGGGAATGTGAGTTTTGTTTTGGGTGTTTTCAGATTGTAATTGAAGTGGAAATGGGCCAACTACTTTACTGATCATTTTAAAATTGAAAATAAATTTGGGTGTTGACTGGCTGCCCTCAGCAGGATGACTGTTCTGCTTTATCATAAACAGAACGGGAAGAAATATTTCTCTCTTAGGAGGTGGGTGGGTTGGGGCTCTGAAGAAAGAGTCCCTTGGTTTTAGTCTCTGAAATGATTGGCAGCCTGCGCTGTAATTTGAGAAACAGAGAACAAGCAGAGTGTATACTGCATTACAACCACAGACAGGAAGATGGATGAGTTAAAAAGGGTGAGGCTAATGTGGTCATTTGTTTTGTGCAAAGCCTTCAATTAGGCATCTTTATATGATGCAGCTGAAGGGAGAGGAGGGAGGTAGAAATTAGAGGAATGTAGATGGATAACAGTCTGAAACACTCAGGAGACATGGAGAAATAACACAAACCAATAAAATGCTATTTAAAATGTTTTTTTCCTGCAGGGACTTGATGTTTTTCGCTTGTAATGGGCCACGGTTCTAAAAAAAGAAGAACAAATCAAGGGCACATGTAGGAAAAGTGCCCAATACTTTAACATAATGAGAAATAAAGCGAAAACAAGTGCTTGAGATGTTAATTATGAGTAGAGCTTCAAAGCACAGCTCATCCCGCAGTAATGGCTCATTACATTTTTCTCTTTTCTTCAGAGGAATGTGCCTCAACATTTTTAATATCTGGTCCTTAAATGAACCGGACCGCTGCCTTTTCATCATTTCACAACCAAAAGATAGCTGAATAACTGCGGTTTTAAAAAAAAAAAAAATGAAGAGAAATAATGAAGACGAAGTTGATGGCATACAGACGGCCTTGGGGCTTTCCAGCACATCACTTTCTTTCTCCCGTCTTGCTCCTGGTCTGTCAATAAGCCTCTCAGGGCTGCATGTTTTCATTCACCGGTTGTGAGGTTCCTGCGTCGTCCACACAATGCACAAATATGCAGCCTGCTGAGCAGGGCTTCAGGGGAGATCTTTTTTTTTTTTCTCGCCCTGTGCAGGTTTGTGTTACATCCATGGCAACCAACCTGTGCAATCCCAGTGCCCCGTGGGGCAGGAGTCAATAAAACTCAGAAACAGAGCCCACTATGAATCAGCTGTTGAGATGCCCGAGAGACTGTCTGAGGAGGGGCGCTCGAAGCATAGCAAAATGGTCTGAGATCACCAGATCAAAGGAGTGCCGTCCTTCGGGACAAGCTTTGATTTGAGAAACTATTAAAGAAGTGTATTGCCTTGTGCTGACTGCACAACTGAAGGACACTCCAGCTTCTGTCAATAATAAAATTAGTGTCCTTTCTTATGTGACGTAAGAAGGGATGTATTTTGTTATTACCTGGTCCCTTCTGGTGTGACTGTCAGTCATCATGGTCCAACTGAACCTGAATTCACCAACAACCGACATGAATAATTTCACTGCAATTGCATCACATATAAGTGTTACC